CAAACGACAAATTAGAGTTTCTATCTTAGGTCCAGACTTCTGAAACACGGGCTGAGCTGAAGGTCTTCATATTTTCTAAGAGACAGACTGGGTCTCTCCCCACTTGGGAGCTTTTGACAGCAAATACTTTCCCTCCCACCCATGGCAGTGTCAGGCTGCAGTGCCTTGGCAGCAGGAGCCAATCCAGCTGCACTCCATGCCCACCCCAGGCCAGCTCCAGCCCTCCCGGGACCCCGCGCTCAGCTGCCCCAGCTCCCTGCTTTCTTGGGTTAGTTTTGTGCCAATGTGCACCAAAATGGCTTAACGCAGGGTCCCAGGTGCAGCAGCAGCCGCAAGAACACAGCTGCCCCGAGTCAGAGCAACCTGGGAATCTGCAGCCTCGGGTTCTTTGCTGCCTGGGAAGTTTGTTTTAGCACATCTCTCCTGGAAGGATGCACATCTTACACATCAGCCGGCTTTTCCACGCTGTGGTTCATGGTGACTATCAGAGATTATTCCTGATGTTTATTCCACCTACAAAAAGTTGGTTCTTCCGTTCAGTAAACTGCTTCATGGTTACATCAAGAAAAATGCGTTAGATTAGTTATTTCCCTCCCAGCGCTTCCTCCCTCCAGCCTCTGAGCAATCGAAGTGTTCATTTCTCACCAAGGCTCCATGCCATAGCGTGTGCAGACAGCTACTTGCTGCAAAGTTTTATCATTTGGATTTGAAAAGCCCGATCCCCTTTAATGAAACAACCTGACAAACTGAGGGCGTCTGGCTGGAGGGTGCTGCTCTGCAACAGCTTGAGCTTGTACCGCTTGGGGCTGCCACTACCCCACCGTCACCTCCCCTTGCCACACACGCTCCCCCAAGTACGCCTTGTGCCAGAACTGCCACCTCCCTGAGCCCAGGATGCGCCAGGGCAGGGAAAGCGCCAGGGCAGTGAAAGAGGCCCCGGACGAGCCTCCTTTCAGGTAGGGTTTGGCCAGGAGAGTTCCTCGGCTGGCCCGGCGCAGGCTCAGTGCCAGGGAGGGAACAGGAACGTGCAGCTGGAGGTGGGGAAGCGGATGGGGATCCCAGCAGCTCTCCCGCCGGGTGCAGCTCCATGGGCAGCTTCAGCTAGTGCAAGCGTGCGGGTTTAAGCCAAGTCAATTTTTGATTATTTGGAGCACTGGCCACACAGCCTTTAACGTAAGGTGGTTTACTCTTGAGTTGCAAAGCTCACGACTCAGGAGCATCCTCCTGGATATCCGTGAAGAAGTTTCCCAGTATTTCTCCCAGGAACACGTGCGGAGGCCCTGCATTACTGCATCGCAACAAGCACAGGGTACAATTCCAGACATCTTTGAACTGCACACAAGCGACAGCGACAATAAAGACTCCACAAATGAAACCTGACTATAAGGCACCCACTCTCATCTCAAAAAACAGACAGGTGTGGTTAACTTTCATAGGTAACACGTACCTCTTTCCTACGAGGTCCCAGGCCAGCTGCTAAGGCAGCAGGGAAGCATGAGGAAGCAAACTGCACTCAATTTTTCAGCTTCCATACTTATTTAAACACTTCAATATGCAATTCTGCTGCCATACCTGTGCCAGTACTATTAGTGATACACTAGAAGTTTTATCAGGTAATTGAGTTACATCAAAAACTACCTGGGAAAAAAGATATATTATCTTTTCTTTTTTAAACCCTGATCAATTCCCCAGTTCAGTTCACCACATGATCCTGCAAATAGTTGCACCAGCACACATAAAATGGGTGTACATAGCAGGAATAAGAAGTGGGTGTTATTTAAATTGTCACTGCTGCCGAAACAAACACTCAAATTACAGCTTAAGAGCAAATGACTACTGCCATCATCGCTGCAACCTGTGGAGTTTCAAGGAATTAACAATAGAAAGGCAATTTGGCATTCCTCTTGCTTTGACCCCTCAACCCAAACTCCCTGCTACTTTTGTTTGCTCAGATTTTGTCTTAGCAGCCTCAAACTTTGTAATGGTCTCACTACTGCAAGTGGTACTGTGCAAGCGAAAAGTTTTTAACCTCCCCTCAAAAAACCTCTCAAAAAGTAATAGGCTGTATTACCACCAAAACCAAATTGTCCAGGACTATCCAGACAAGTGCTAACTTGGACTAGTTAAACTCAGTATCTATGTAAGCATCACAGGCACTGTTGGAATGTACTTCCACCAAGCAAAAAAAGCTTTTTTGGAAAGAGGTGGACAGGAAAGCTGCAAAGCAAGGCCAAGAAACTAACCACACACCATCCTCAAACAGGTGAATTCAAGTGTATCCAGCTGTTTACAACACAGAGCATCGAAAAAAGCAGTTATCCTCATTGAAGGTTATTTAAAACTATGAAGAAACTGAATACAATGCGACTTACTGCACCAGGCCCAAATCTTTATCTGGAACCCAGGACCGACACAATAACGACACTTCAGACCCTACGCATTAGGAAACGCCACAACCATCCGCGTGTTTCGCCACACACCTGAAACACAATCTGCTGCCTTGATGCACAAAACGCAATACTACTTGAAACAAGACGAGCTACAATAAGGAAATAAACAAAAACAGTGAGAAGTACAACAGGTTCCAGCCTCTTTGCACACTGCAGCTTCCTCAAAACCGATAAGCTTGTTAAGGCCTCACAGAAAAGGATAAAGCTAAAGCAAAAGCCATGCCTAGTCTACTTTCGCCCACACGTAACACTTCCCTGCATCCAAAGAAATGACCAAGACCCTCCCGAAGTGAACCACTGTCTTCCTCCACTCTCTACATTTATATTATTACAGCAGTGTCTGGCACCTTCTCCCCCGCTTTTTAAACTCAGTTCTAGAAACGATGATAGAGGCTTTTGTTTCTAGGACTTCGGTAAAGCAATCGATACAGAAAACAGCCATGGAAGCATCTTTAACTATGCAACTCGTGCGTCAACTGGAAGATCACCCCAGGCCAATGCACTACTTAACATATAACAACACACAGACCAATTTATTATTAATAATTCAGAGCATGGACCTCTCCCGAAGGTCAGAGCAGCAAGGCCAACTGAGATACTGCATGAATGGCAGCCTGATTTACAATCAACTCCAACCACACAGTGAGCATAAAGGCTTGTTACTCAAACCAAAGCTAGGTTTGCATCACAGAGAGATCTTAATGCCAAATAATTAAATTATTGTCTAATATTTAAAATCAGGAAAAGATTGCTACATATTCAGAATGAGGAACCATTTAATTGCAAGCACAATTCTAACAGCCAGTTGGAAACGACAGGCTTTCCCACAGAGCTAAAACTAACAGATCTCATTATTCCTGACATCAGGTAATAAATTCCCTGAAGAGTACGGAGCACGACTTAACAAGGCGAAGGTGTTCTGCTTGGGGGAAGAGGTGGTTTCTCCGCACACTGAGCCCGAAGGGAAAAGCGTTGCTTCTACCAGAACCAAGGAATACCTCCCCCGTAAGACCTCACACACCTGCTACAATAAGGTTTTGGACACTCTTCTCCAGTTACTGTCTACACGGTTCTTCCAGGAAAAGGATTTTCCTGCAAGAAAGTCGTATCCCATCCCTTCACAACGATGGGCAATACCACCAAACTCATGCTTTCCTCCAACGTGAGCCTTGGTATGTTCTCGCTAACGCGTAAGCTTTGGAAGGAAATTGATGTTGATACTTAGTGTTTAAGTCGTGTAGCAGAAGTAGTTTGCCCATATGTTTTTTCGAGGGGAAAAGGCTGAATAAATGAAGACATGATACCAGACATCCTGGGTGGCTTCCAAGATGATGTAATTTTTTTTAAATAGCTTATTTCTTATAGGTCTCCTTTGAAATAGAGGTTACCCATCTAAGTTCCGAACTAAGTGTGTGAAACTAAGTTATAAATATATTCTGCAGCAATTACTAGAAGAGATCTCAAGTGCTACATGCATGTGTACAATTAAAACATTGCTCCTGAGTCAGCATGGCTTTATGTAGCAGTTAAAACAAAGACGAACAACCGGCACAGAAGATGATTTCTCAAAGCAAGCAGGTTCTGAAAGCCTGGGGAAAAGATTGTTTCAATCAGTTCAACTCAACACAGGTAGGGAAACTTATCTCTCGCTTTTTTTTTTAATTTAAGGCAGGACCTCAGAGTTACCCACGATCTGTATATACCACAAAGACCTTTACAGCTACACTGGAATTAACATCCACAATGGAGAAAGAGGTTGTATTAGAGAACGTATCAGTGAAGCTTAAATTTACAGTGCCCCACAGTAAAGCACTATAAAGAACCACATCCTCCTCCTCAACCTCACAAAACTGGACTGTTTTTTGCACACCTGACAATATTAGTGCAGTTTTCACCCTCTCCCCTCTCCAGAAACACGCACATACACACACCGACAACTATATTGAAAAGCCTGAATGAAATCCAGGCCTCAAAGCTTGACTTTCCTTGGTAAAAAGGAAGTCAATCACAATAATGAATACCGTAAGTTTGAATGCAACCACTTCATTTAGGAGAAGGTTCTGAAAGCCAGAAGAACATAGCCAGAGTTTTCCGAGAGTACCCGCAAGCACAGCAGCTCGTAGCTGCATTGACTTCTTCCTGCAGGAAAACATCAGAACAGTTTCTTATACTTTTATGCTGGTGCCCAAGTGCGACTAAATTCAGAATCTGCTTTTAAGCATGTTCAAAATTTAAGTTTTGTTTCCTTTCGTGAAAGTGGCATGACAGGTCGTTTTGTCGATTGTTTACCATGTATTCTACATGCTTTGGAGAAAAAAGTCTGAGATCTAAGCCTGCACAATGAATCTCAACGACACCACCTCTGCTCTCCTTCGAAGAAAAGGTTAAAATGGAAGACAGCCCCCTGCCTACAGGCATTTCTAAACAATGGGCTGATTTTTCTGCCACCAATTATTGCCCTGGATAAGTATCAAGTATGTAGAATTATAATTTAACATACATTACTCCTCAGCTTATGGGGCTACTGACCTGTTGGAAGCTCAGCAGAGCTCCTGGCTGATGCTCTAACTTCCCCTTGCAGGCAGCTGCCTGATTATTTCTGGTCCCCCTCACCACAACCAAACTGCAAGCACGTTCGCAGTGTAATGTAACATTAACGTATGGAGAAAGGGAAAAGTATCCATCACAAAATATATTTCCTGGCTGCTTAATTCCGCACAGCTACAGTGTTTTGGAAAGTAACGCCAGAATTAGGGTAACCATTGTAGTTGACAGTTTTGAAGTTAAAAGAAACCATAGATCTGTTGAATTTTGTTAAACTGGGTTGGCACTCAGTCTAACACAAAGTGAAAAATTTGCACCCACAAAAAGAGAACTCAGAGCAAACAAAATTAATGAAGTGTACTAACTGACATTTCAGCAAGATCCACGTTAAAGTACTGCAAACTCAAACAACTTTGACATTTAAAAGCCCACAATTACCATTATAATTCATTACTGTTACTCGAATGTATAATATTGCAGCTCGTGACAAATGCACATCACGGGGGATTACTGAAGAAGCTACAAGGTCAGGGTGATTTTTCTTCAGTTTTCATGTCACATGCAGGCCGCTCCAGAATGTCTCCAAATGGCAATAACTTTATTAGCTACTTTAAGACTTCAGTACAGGTCTATTACAAAAAACCACTTGTTCAGACAGAAGCAGGTATGACTTTAATAGAACCAAAATACCATTTCACATACCCAGCCTCCTGCAATAACACACACACGCGCACGTTCAGCCTGACGCACCCGTAGCTGCCCCCACAAACTGCAAATGGCCAAGACAAACCCACCTTTGCATCCTGCTGTGGTGACTGTGCGATCTAAGATTCAAAAATCTGACAGATTGCAAGCTTTGCAGTCCTCTCACAGTAATAAACACCTAAGCGGAGAACTGCCTTAACGTGCCAAAAAAACCCTTAAAAGGAGTAAATGAGGCTTTGGATAACCACCACTTAAACGTTAAGGCCACTTACAGGTAAAATACACGCCGACTTCTGCGCTCATGCTACGTCCCAGAAGGAGCAGATAAGCTCATTAGTGCGCTGCAGGAAAGGATAAAAGCGAAGACCGAGGCTGCTCGCTCCTGGAGCGACTCCAGAGCCCCGAAGCCACCGTCGAAGCCCTCCCGGCGTCCCCGGAGAGCCCGGGGCACCCCACGGCCCCGCGATCCCGGCTGGAGGCGGCCGCAGGGGCCGAGGAACAGGTGG